CTGTAAAAAGAATCTTTCAATATCTCAAAGGGACTTAATTTTTGGGTCTTTGGTATCCAAAGCATTCTGGTTTCGATCTTATTGCGTACACAAATTCTGATCATGCAGGTTGTAAACTCGATGGAAAGAGCACATCAGGAAGATGCCAATTGCTTGGGGACAAGCTCATAAGCTGGACCTCGAAAAAGCAGAACCGTGTCTCAACTTCCACCGCTAAAGCAGAGTATGTCGCTGCAGCCAGCTGCTGTTCCCAAGTGATATGGATGAAGACTCAACTGAAAGACTATGGTGTAGAGTTTGAGAAGATTCCAATTCTGTGTGACTCAGAAAGCGCTATAGCAATCACAGCCAACCCTGTTCAACACTAAAAAACAAAGCACATCAATGTTCGATATCATTTCATAAAGGACCATGTAGAGAAAGGTACGATTGAAATGTTCTTTGTAAACACATATTTACAACTTGCTGACATCTTCACAAAACCTCTTGATGAAAAGAGATTCAATTTCCTAGTTAGCAAGTTGGGTATGCTAAATATCTCAAGCTAGAACAGAGCCTCTGCATCCCTTGATGCATACTGTTTCTTTTTCATAGAATAGAGCCTCTGCATAGTTCATGCAGTGTCTCTTCCTCGTCTAGTTCTTCTGCAATACAGAGCCTCTGTATAGTACATATAGAGCCTCTGTACCTTGATCATTATGCATGTACTCTACTTATCACAAATGATCTAAGCATAGTTCAAGGGGGAGCAGATAAGAAAAGTTAAACTCAAGGGGGAGCACAACATCATCTCAGAATAGAGCCTCTGTGTTAAAACTCATGGTTATTGACCAGAGCCTCTGTATGTACTAGACAGAGCCTCTGTCTCTAAGCAAAGCAAAGCGTTCTCCAGAGGACATGTATAGTCTAATCATAAATCTCTGTTTGAGATCTTAAGGTATGTCTTCTTCTGCATATAATTCTCTAGTTCTAATCAAAACCTCTACTTTTCTCGAACCAGAACTTTTACACTTAGAAACTTTTCTTGTTGTTTTTGAAAAATAAAATAAAATATTTAATTCGGAAGGCGTAGAGTTTTTATTATTATTTAATAAAAGTTGTTACCCACAATAAGCTTCACCGCATGTGGGCTTATCTTTTCAAACGTGGGAGGCGCCACTGGCAGCTGGCAATCCACGTGGTAGGGCCCCACAGGCTCTGCGAGAACCGGTTTAGTTTTACCAGACGTTTGGGGTGCTAAAACACTCAAGTGTTTTAATTTTATTTCTATTTAAACAATTTCTAAACCCCCAAATTAATCTTTTACGCTTACAAAATTTCTCAAAGAACTCTCGTCGTCTTCAACCTTTCAACCGTCATTGCCGGAACTCCAAGCTCTCAAACCTGCAATTAAAGATCGTTTCCATCTTCTACCAATCATCCTGATTCACAAGTAAGTACCAAAAATCCGCTCTTTCATCCCAATTCTTGATTCAAGAACCAGTTCTTGAAACCCTAGAAATCTGTTACCTCCTTCCAAAACCCAAAACTTGCAACAATGTCCTCCTCAGAATCTGGAAACTCCCAAACTCATACCATAACCCACAAAACCATGGAAGATACCAGTCAAAACCTTGTTCCCCTACCCATCAAACCAAATAACCATGCCCTAAACCTTCAACTTGACAACTTCGACACCAAATACCATCCCATCATCAACATTCTCCAAAACCACTTCTTGAACCCAGCCTTAACCAACACTGATGACTTGGTTCCTGAGAGATACATACAAGAATATTGGCAATCCTGCACCGTTACTGAACCCCAAAGAGGGATCATAGGAGATTTCTTCGTCTCTGCCACCCAAGAATTTGTCACAGTTCGAATTTCAAGATCCTTATTTTCACGAGTTCTTGAAATACCAACAAAAACAGACCTGGGGCTTTCTGAATACGCCCCTCTTCCTACCGGAGACGAGATTGTAACATTTCTGAAGTTCTTGGGATACAACAAGGCCATTCAATACCCGTCACAATATCACCGTCAACACTTACCGCCGATGTGGAATACACTTTTCACATTAGTCAATCGTTCGCTGACAGGGAAGATAGAGAGCCTCGATATGTGCTCCACGAGTGTTCTACAAATCGTCTATGGCATTTTCTTCGACCTGTCCCTCGACTACTCCTTGATACTATACATCGAGTTCAAGGCCGCCGTGGCCAAAAAGTGTCAAGAAGTGGCCAAAAGAAGACACCTGCCATCCTTGTTGTTTCCTCGATTCTTGGGTCTTCTCCTAAGACCAGCTCTTGATGACAACAACATTGATGTGGGTCATCTACATCCTCACAAGGTAAACGTACTCATTCAATACAGACCAACAGTGCACAAGGAAGGTTATGAAGCAGAAAGACCTATTCCAAAGAGACTCATGAGCTACATGAAGTCTAAGGAGATTAGGAGAGCGTACAGATGTACACGCGGGACGCTAGAACCAGTGTCTTGAACCCCGGTATGGATAGGGGCAGCTGACAAAGAAGAGAGAACTGAGGACACATCAGTTCTTCAGACCGAGGGAGGAACGGTGAGAGCTGGAGAAGAGAGAATGAGAACAGAGGAAGAAAGAGTGAGAGTACAACAAGAGAGAGAAAGAGAAAGAAAACGAGAAGAGGCAAGGAAAAAGAAAGCTGAGAGGGAGAAGAAGAAAAAAGAGGTAGAACGAGCAGATGAAGAGCGGGCAAAACTGGCTCGCCAAACAGAAATCGCTCGCCTAAGAGAAGAGGCTAGACTCAGAGCAGAAGAGGAGGCTCGTCAAATCTTGGCTCAATCCTCTAGTCCAACCACGAGGATGACTAAGAGTATTATGACGATGATGCACGGTCTTATACTAGCGTATAAAGTGGAGAAGAGAAGGAAGAGAGTGACGAAGAAGAGAAAGACAGAGAGTGAGGGAGATGAAGAGGAGAGCAAGGAAGAAGAAGAAGAAGAAGAAGAAGAAGAAGAAGAAGAAGAAGAAGAAGAAGAAGAAGAAGAAGAAGAAGAAGAAGAAGAAGAAGAAGAAGAAGAAGGA